TTTTTTTCAAATCAAAATAGTGCAAAAGCACATGTCGAAAAAACACTTTATCGCGTTCCATTTTTCACAAAGCAAAAGAAATTGTTGTTTAGGAAAATAATTGTGTATGCTGACTGAATGTTATCGAGAAATGTCGAAATTAATCACAAACTACCTGTTTCGTTAGTAATGACTACTAGAACTGTTTGCATTGCCATCTAACATTTGTGGGCGGAAACTAAGTTAAGGTCCTAATACAAGATGTGATCAAAAAAGGACCGGAATTCTGTCGTCGAGCGCGTAAAACTTCACGGATGTAGTTTAAGATTTTACAGATAGATAGCGCATTCTTCTTCGTGTGTTTGTGACGTTCTGCGATTCGTCACGCGTTTTTAAAATGAAGGTGTTGCAAGAGCAGCGTGTGTGCGTGAAATTTTGCTATAAGTTGGGAAAAACGTGCGCGGAAACATTCAAACCGCTTAAGGAAGTTTATGGGGATGAGACTATGAGTTCACGCTGCTCTTGCAACACCTTCATTTTAAAGACGCGTGACAAATCGCAGAACGGTACAAACACACACTCGTTTCCAGGACAATAACTTCGGAACTACTGGACCGATCATAACAAAATTTTTACAGCGTACTGGAGAAGGATGCGCTATCTATCTGTAAAATCTTAAACTACATCCGTGAAGTTTTACGCGCTCGACGACAGAATTCTAGTCTTTTTTTTGACCAAACTTTGTATATAGTATCCAGAAGAGCCGTGATGTACAAGTAGATTAGGTCAAACAGAATAAAAAATTCCTCTACTATTTTGCAATGCTATGTAAAATTTTGAGTTATTAATATAAATTAGATAGATAAATTGTGATGACGATATCTGCCGATATATGCTTGTATAGGTTAAGAGGGTATTCTAGTGTGACGGGTCAAAAAAATCGATTTTTCTTTTTTTGAATATTTTTAAAGTCTTGAAAATATGTCCCTAAAATATTATGATGAAATTCTTTAAGTTGACCGAGTTATAAAGGTTTAAAAGACGCAGCCTCCATACGGCGCGCCGACTGTGAGATGAATGACGAAGTGTTAAATATCATCCAACCTATTTACGAAGATTTAATTACCCATGATTTATTACAGCGATGCCTCGGATTATTTACTCAGAACAATAACGAAAGTTTAATTTCATTAATTTGGACAATTGCACCAAAACATCTGCATTATGGAAAGAAGACGGTAGAAGTTGCAACTTTTTTGGCTCTTTGCCTGTTTAATGAAGGATTTCATACAACTTTAAAAATAATGGACGTGATGGAACTACAAATTGTCCAAAATGCAAAAGTCCTCGCGGATAATAGAGACAACGAGCGCGTTAAACGTTCGGAGCAGCGAACGTCGCACGAGTCGAAAAAAGCAAGAATTGCCAAGAGACAAGAAAAGGCTGACAAACGTGAGTTTTATGAAGTTGAAGAAAGTCTCTTATATGGTCCTGGTATAGCTGATTAAGGGTAAGTTACTCTAATTACTCATTATCCACCTCATAAGTATGTCACATGAGAATCTTTAAACGCGTTTTTCTCGAAACGACATTTTTCAAATCGGACGAGTATTTTTCTCGGAAACTACTGAACTTTCTCGATCAACTTGCGCTTTTACACGCATATAGTGCACATATTTGACTATCGCCCGAACTAGAATCTTTTTGATATCTTTAAAATTACTATTTTTCCGGACAGCGAACAGTTGGAATTTTTTAGTAAAAATCACTGCTATTTTTCAAACGCCGCCATTTTGTTAATTTTTTTTCAAATTATTTTATTCTAGCTCAGGCGATAGCCACATTCATGAAGAACAAAATAAACGCAATTTGTTTATTTCAGATGACGAGGACGGCGGCGGCAATCAATTCGCTCGATGGAAGACAATTTTACAACATGATCTGTTTCGCCCACTTATATTTCCTTAAATTTTGAACGTAAAGCTTTGACAAAATTTGAGATGTTTCTTCAAAGATGAAAAAATGTCAATACAAAACATTAACTCTGTAGGTTTAACCATTTGCTTTAAATTAATTCCTAAAAATCGCCTTGAAAACGAGCCTTCACACTAGAATACACCCTTAAACTTAAAAAAGAAGTCTGCTGTTATTCTCCAAATGTGACTACGTACACGTTTAGTTATTAATTAAAGAAGATTGATGTACAGTTGTGTACAATAATGCTAGCTCCCTTCACAATAATCTAGCTTCCTTATGCCGAAAGTATTTATTTGACAGAAAGACTTTCGGTGTAAGCAGTATAGACGTGAGCGAAATAAATTATTTTTATTACTTACTCCTACTCTTAACTCTTACTCCAAGCTTACTCCGCATATTGTAGGTGAAGCCTGAAACTTGACGAGGAATCACGCCATCCTCGAAGAATGACAATTCAATTCCACTTTTTCAATGGGAGAATAATCGCTTCGCACAAAATTCAGAATACTAAATAATAACGAGCCGTTTGAAGCTCCTCGAGGAGTAACAATCCAATTCAAATTTTCCATGAGAAAATAATCGTTTCATGCAACAAAATTCAAAATACTAAACCGTTACTCAACCGTTATTCAAAATACTAAAAATAACAAACCGTTATGACAAACCGTTATAATCGTTTTAAGCTCGATGAAGAATGACGTTTTTCTCTCACAAAGAATCAATTCTATTTTTCTAGTAGAGAAATAACCGTTTAAAAATAAAATTCAAAATACTAAATAATAACGAGTCCTTTAAAGCTCAACCAGGGAAATAATTCAATTCTACTTTCTTAACGGGAGAATGATCATTTGATATTACAAAATTCATAATATGTAATAATAATAAATATGTAATAATAATAACAAAAATATGTGAAAAAATAAGTTACGAATATTATCCATTGAAGTTTATAAAGAAAGTTGTCGCGTCTTTCTCGCTAATGCGATGCGAATTTCTAGATTTTTTCTGGAAATTTCTGGGTGCTCTCTCCTCTATCTTCCCTCTTCCTTTCTCTCCCTCTGTCTAGAGAGAACTTTGTGTTCTATGCCCTTCGCCAGCGATATACGCGCGCAAGTATTAAACTGAGCGCGTAGCCTGATGTTTGCGTACGGCACACATTCGTGTGCGTATAATATTGTAGATCGATAGTCTCGACGTGTCTCGGTTAGTGGGTCTAGTTCGTAAGAATGATATAGTTGCCGTATGAACATGTGTATGTGTGTGTGCGTGTGTGCGTGTGCGAGTGATTCGCGAACCGATCGTGTCTCCCAACCGCGACATCAATGTGTTATCGTGTCGTGCAATATTTATCTTTTCCTTTTTCTTTCCTGCAATATTTATCTTTTCCTTTTTCTTTCCTGCAATATTTATCTTTTCCTTTTTCTTTCCTGCAACACAATTTTCACCAACCTCCCTCCCTTCAAGCCCTTCATTATAACTGCATTCGCTTTGGACGCTGACGCACTGAAAGTGTCATTCTACCTTTGTTGTTCACTATACGTCAAAAAAAGATAGAATGACGTTTTCAGCACGTAAGCGCCCAAAGTGAACGCAGCCTACGTCTTGTCGAGCAAGATATGTGTTATTTGTTGCACAAATAACATCAGAGAAAGTATCATCTTTTAAAATGAAGTTTTATAAAGTAAGACGAATCTCACACACGCGATCCTTTGTTCTCGTTATGAGATAAAAGTACCAATACCAATGCGCTTACTTAATTCTGGACATTCGCGTTGTTTTGCTCTTTAAATACGAATACTCAAACTTTCAATATAAAAACAAAAATATACACATAAAATATACACATAATACATATATATACATATATAAATATATACATATATATATATATATATATATATATATATATATATATACACATATTCTCTCTGATTGAAAATATTTCTGTTCAAAGATCAAAGCACTATGAAAATCTCTAATTAAATAACTACCTGGGAACTGGTACTTTTTTGCCTTCACGACGTTCGTCGAGTTAGCCCTTTGCACTTGTCGCGTCTGAAATCCTCAGATTCACTTGAGGCGATTTATAGTTCGCGACAAAGGCGACGAAACTTTGCGCGATTCTGTCATTTGTCGCTCAAAGTATATCTTAACGAGCCGCATATCTTATTGTCAAGGTGGACAACTCTACTCTAGTTCTACTCTACGGCTCTTTGCTGGCCGGTCAATCGAAAGTTTACGGGAGGCTGACGCGAGACTTGCCGTCCACATAAATCACTTTCGGCGCGCGTGTGTTCGCGCGACTTCTTTCTGTCCGTTCAAACGAGGGTTATTTAGCAAAACCTTCACGGAGAGAGGATTTCTCCCTAATCCACGAGGATCATGCCCCTCTTCTACCTGTATTTATCACAAGAAAAAAGTGCGAGATTAATAATTCATCACACGCTCACGTGCGATGATTTCGCTGGAGGAGCACGACGCACGGTATAACGAGTATACTGTGCCCAAAAAGTAAGACCAATTTCCAAG